TTTTTTTTTTTTATCTACTCTCTTCAATAATTTTTCTTCAGGCAAAAGGAACAATTAGTAAAGAAAAAACAGAGGGCAATGAATACACTGAATTAATATCCACTTCGGTTCACACAATGACTCCATCTACATGTATACTCCTGCATTCTTCAGGATAAACAAATGTGAGCAGCACAACAAGCCTCTATACATCTCCATAACTAAAATAATAGTTGAAAAAAAAAAGAAAACAAACAAACAAACAAAAACACCTACTTGACAAAGCCAACCAGAAGTAGCATGCAAAAGCTATTAACACATAAAAAGGAGGATTAAAAAAAAAAAATTGGTCATTTCACATGCTCCTATCATAGACAGACGTAAACGTCATGGTCGGCAGCGAAGAAGGCGGAGAAGTCGAAGTTGTGTTCTCCAAAGTATCCGATCCTGAGGAGTTATAATTGGACAATATTTGATTTATATCAGGCTTTTGTTTGGGGGTGTTTTTCACCTTGAGGTCCATGAAATCGGAAATTAGGCCAGGTTTGGTAATTTTTTGGTCACTGATGCTTTTCTCGCCAGTAAGCATTTGGACAACAGTTGACATGGAGGGTCGGAGTTTGGGGGAGTCCTGAGTACAGAGTAGGCCAATCTGTAAGAACCTGCAAGCCTGCTCGGCATCAAAATCTCCATTGAGGGATGTGTCCACAAGAGCCACCAGCTCGTTTTTCTCGTAAAGTTGCCATGTCTGTAAGTGAAAAATTTTAGTATATTTGTGTCAAGAAAATATTATACCATAAAGATTATAGCAAATAAAAAAAAACAAAAAAAAACAAAAAAAAAAAAACAAAAAAAAAACAAAAAATAAATAAATAAAGATTATAGGAAATTTCTTGGAACATGGAAGTCCGTATAGGGATAAAGGATGATTGCAAAAGTGTCCTTGATGTTTGACCTAATTACAAAGAAACCAGCCAACTTCCAAGATTCCGAGAAGGATCCCGGAGTTCGATTTATTGTAATAGTTAAGGAGTTAAATGCAATAATCTATCTACTATAT